GAGAGAGAGAGAGAGAGAGAGAGAGAGGGACAGCAGAAGTGGTCCTCATTTAGATATTGCAATAGCTCAAGTTTTCTCTAAACTCAGCATCCTACTTATCTTTCCCATGCTCTTTGGAATCAAATATTTATTTGCTTCCGTCTGTCCCTGGATGAAAATATTCGTGCATCTCCCAGACTCCAATTTTATCTTTTTTCCTCATCCTTCCCTGGAGCCGACTGCTTCTCCATTTTGTATTTTAAATGTAGTCTCGGCTCAAAGGCGAGTCTTTGTATGCCCTCTAAAGTAGGTTGAAGTCAAACACGCTTGTGTATTTGCCTTCAAGACGTAGCCAGCGTTCTTTGCCAGTTGAGGGATGAAGCCAAAATATGCATGGGATTCTGACCCATTCCATTTCCTGGGTACGGTCTGTGGTAGTCTTTTTCATCTGTTTGCTTCGGCGTCTATGAAACAGGAATTCGAGAAGTTGTATAAGGTAGAGAATCAGTTTACGGGTTGGAGAGTGTTATCGCATTTATTGTGTTTCCTGAAGTTGTCTGCTTGTTCTCAGTCTCTTAAATTGTCTGTCTTATCTGTTTATTTTAAAGTTCTTTAAGTTTTCTGTGTTTCTTAAAACTCTCTATGTTTTCTGTGGGTGTTAAAGCTGTCTATTTCCCTGTGGTTCTTTGAGTTGTCTGCGTTTTTGTTTCTTAATGTTACTTGCGTTTTCTGTGCCTCTTCAAGCTGTCCACCTTTATAGTGTTATAGTATATAACTTTATAGTATAGTTACTATTAAATATTTTCTGAGCTTTTCTGTGTGTATCAGTGACTGACATCACCAAACTGCTTTTGTTTGTTGCTGTTTGTCACTGCCAAGATCTATTATCACTATAAGATGACAATAATAAATCACTATAACTGCCAACGCAATTCTCACTATCAACTCTAACTTCGCCGTTACTACCACCATTACAATCACTATCAACATCACCGCCACCACTGCTACTAAAAACTACTACCCTCGTCTGCACTACCATCAATACTACTAAAATCTTCACCAACACAGCCACCACCACCATCAACACCATTACCACCATATCCACTGCTCCCACCACCAGCACCACCACAACCACTACCACCACAACCACTACCACCACAAACACTACCACCACTATCAACACAACCACAGTCCATTACCACCCATCAACTATCAACTAACCAGCTACCTTACCCCTCGTTACACAACTAATGACTCGTATCCATTAACTAATTGCTCAACTACCATTATCCGTCGTTACCGCGCTTGCAGAACAATTACCTCAACAAACACCTTGTTTCCAACAATTCTGTGAATCTCCACCAATTCACACCTCGGAACAAGCAGTTAGTGTGGTAACCAGATCTCCCATGAGAACATTATTATACCTATGAAACTATAATTTGTGTTGTAATTAGTAATTGTAATTTGTAATTATGCTTGTAAATCAGAAACAGAGATGGCAAACATTCACACAATCAAATTCATCACAATCATATTCCCCTACCATCCGCTACAATCATCACAGCCTCCTACCACAACATCTATCAGTACAATAGACACTAACACCACTAGCACTACCACAATCCACATCACACTCCTGTCCTTAGCATCAACACCAGCACTGTCACCACTCCCACCACCACAGGGTTGAGAGGCGGGACCAAAGGGCCAAAGCTCAACCCCCGCAAGCACAACTAAGTGAGTACCTCACTGTCACTATCGTCAGTATCTAAAGCCCTTCACTATCCTTCACTACCACTACCACTGCCACCACTATCAACAACACTACCACCACCACCACCACCACCCCCACCACCACCCACATTACCACTCCATCAACCCCCATCATCATTCGAACACCTCGCCACAGGTAATCCAATCACCTAATTACAGCAGCAACACCCTGGAAACGTAAGGAGGGAATCTGAGAGGGCAGAGTGGGGAAGAGAGTGAAGGACCAGTGAGTGAAAGAGAAGGGTCAGGGAACGAAAGAGAGGGGGTCAGAGAGTATATAGGAGGGTCTGGGAGCGAAAGAGAGGGACAGGAATTGAATAGGAAGATCGGGGAGCGAAAGAGAGAGTCAAGGAGTGAATAGGAGGATCAGAGAGCGAAAGAGAGGGTCAAGGAGTGAATGGGACGACAAGGGAGTGAAAGGTAACGACAGAAAAGGAATGATGACATCTCTTCAGACTGGGTACTTTATATCGTTTGAGGACTAATCTTCTTGATTGTAATATTAATCTTTTTTATCATCCTCCTCCTCCTCTTCTTCTTTCTTGTCATCCTCGTCATCATCCTCATCATCATCATCTTTCTCCTTTCCTCTGCGACATTTTCTTCATCCTTCCCCATTCTTTACTTTCCTCTTAACTAAACGTCCACAAGCTCTCTTCTCTGATTTATAAATCCCCTCTTTTACTTTCGGTTTCCAAAAATCCTATTCAGGGACGCTTATTAGTGCCTCCTGCTCCTCCTCTTCTTCTTCCTCCTCCTGTTCCTCTTACTCCTCCTCCTGCTCCTCCTTCTCCTCCTCCTCCTCTTCACCCTCACATCCCTGGTAATGTCTCTTAAATCTATCCTGTGTTTTTTGTTCTTCCTAAATCCAGTTCTGGCAGACGCTCACAAGCCACTTTTATCATTCACCCTTCTGTCTGTCTGTCTGTCTGTCTGTCTGTCTGTCTGTCTGTCTGTCTGTCTGTCTGTCTGTCTGTCTGTTGGTCTGTCTGTCTGTCTGTCTCTTTTTATGATTATTTTATCCCAGGTTTCTTTTCTGACATTTAGGATCCTGTAGGATATTCAAGTAATTTCCTATGTTCTATTGACTAGCTAAATAGGAGCTCGTTTTAGGAAATGGTCCTTGCAAGTAAAATCCCTTTCAATTATGAAAGGGATTTAAAGTATGTACTGTTTTTGGTGTTTGCCAATATTAATATTAGGCATATGCAAATCTCTCCTACCCCCCCTACCCCCATTCCTACTTCCCCTCTCTCTCACTCTCTCTCTCTCTCTCTCACCCTCTCTCTCTCTCTCTCTCACTCTCTCTCTCTTTCTCTCTCTCTCTCTCTCTCTCTCTCTCTCTCTCTCTCTCTCTCTCTCTCTCTCTCTCTCTCTCTCTCTCTCTCTCTCTCTCTCTCTCTCTCTCTCTCTCTTTCTGACACAGTTCTCACGTCACGTTCTCTTCTTCGTCTTCTTCTTTTTCTTCTTCTTCTTATTCTTCCTCCTCCTCATCCTCCTCCTCCTCCTCCTCCTCATATTTATTGTCTAAAAGGCACTGTTCTGCTCTAATTAATCTCTTAAAAAAATACATTTCCCTACAACTGTATGAATTAAAACCTGCTTATCGAATGTAATTCATATTCTGATAAAATACAGGAAATTTCTTCATAACAAATCAATAATGTTTATATTCTGTGGTTGATCTGTGTAATGTTTATATTGTGCTGTTGATCTGTGCAATGTTTATACTGTGTGGCGGATCTGTGCAACGTTTACACTATCTTTACATCTGTGCAATGTTTCACAGAGAAGGAATAAACATGCTGTTCAGAAACAATATTTTCCCAAGTGGGTTTGATACCTGCTTATTAATGCAATATTTCTCCTCAAAGGTTTGACTTGCTTCTATTGACGCCATTTTTCTCCCTGGAGGCCCTTGTGCAGCGCGCAGCCTACTACGATGGGACCTCAAGGTGTTGGGTTGACTGATTCTGAAAGATACTGAAAGATACCAGGCATCAACCAGTAATTAGTTTAATATAAATAATTATATATATATTTATATGTAATTAATTATATATTTATAATGCATAGGTACGTTTCTATTGGTTGAGGGTTCCTCATGGATACAAAATTATTTTAGAAGTTCCTCTACGATTAAGTCAAATTCTGTGGAAGTCTTGGAATATATAGTAGACAAAGACACACGTAATAGTATTTATGGATCGACACAAGTGATATTATGATAGTCTCTTCTCTGCTTAGAATGAATTTCCTTACGCGTCTGTAGGCATTTAACTGCAAATACGATTCTTATGAAAGAGTAAGCAACGGAACACTGATTTTCGAGGAAGATGATTGTAGACTTATACATAAAGGGTTGTTGCAAACTGGTATCCTAATTCTGGCATCAAATCCAGTGATTCAGCTACTCGCACGTCAACTCTACTCTCTACTGTCACCCACCGGTTGACTCACTCTACCTTCCCAGGACTTTGTCACCCATCCATCCGTCACACTCACAGACAAAGATGCTATTTTTTAAAATATCGTCGGCCGCAAAGCAGAGAAAAACTAACACTTCGAAATTCAGGAAATTCGCTCTTTCCTGCCCCTTTCCCTCCCTCCTCCCACTCCTTCCCTTTCCCTTCGCGCGATCAGATGCATCCAGTCAGCAATCCGATCCGTAATTTCCGATACCGCGCTGCGAAATATCCGGACAACACTCGGCAATTTCCGACAGAGAGTTCGGCTCAATCCGGTCCAAAGCCTCCCTTCTTCTCAGTTTTATCCGGAATGACCTGCCCAAGCCTTTGCTGTCGGGACGCTCTTATCTCTCTTATCTCGGAGCCTACTACTCTCCCCTTCCACTCCTCCAATCCACTATCCCCTCTACCCTCTTTGTGGTGGGGGGGAGGGAGTACCTGGCAAGATCTTGAGGTCCGTGTAGGTTCGAATCCTGAGCAAGGCTAGGGCAATTGTGTTGCTATTCCTTCACTTTGTACTCCTGTGCACCCAGCAGTAATGGGGACCTGAATGTAAATACGATTGTCGAATCGTGTCCTGGGAAAACAATAAGAACCTGCCATAAGAATAATGGGAACTAATGGGGGCTGATAAGTCCATTCGAGTTAACTCCTTGGCTGAAATGGAGCTGAATTGCCTAACCAGTTCCAGTACCTTACCAAGAGGCCTGAATCTTAACGTAATAACATAAAGTCAGCCATTGCCGATGGATGTGAAGTCATCTTAACATTCCTCAGCTCAGCCATACAGTCTCCGGAGGACTTAATGTGATTGGATTTGGTCGAAGCACTTTTATTGATTTATTCCCTCTGAGGACGGCTCTCCAAGGAATAGTACGTCCCGGTACCGAGGTAGACCCTAGTCCTGGTACCGAGGTAGACCTTAGTCCTGGTACCGAGGTAGACCCTAGTCCTGGTACCGAGGTAGACCCTAGTCCTGGTACTGAGGTAGACCCTAGTCCTGGTACCGAGGTAGACCCTAGTCCTGGTACCGAGGTAGACCCTAGTCCTGGTACCGAGGTAGACCCTAGTCCTGGTACCGAGGTAGACCCTAGTCCTGGTACCGACGTAGACCCTAGTCCTGGTACCGACGTAAACCCTAGTCCTGGTACCGACGTAGACCCTAGTCCTGGTACCGACGTAGACCCTAGTCCTGGTACCGACGTAGACCCTAGTCCTGGTACCGTCGTAGACCTTAGTCCTGGTACCGAGGTAGACCCTAGTCCTGGTACCGAGGTAGACCCTAGTCCTGGTACCGACGTAGACCCTAGTCCTGGTACCGACGTAGACCCTAGTCCTGGTACCGTCGTAGACCCTAGTCCTGGTACCGACGTAGACCCTACGTCCTGGTACCGAGGTAGACCCCTCGTCCCGGTACCGACGTAGATCCTAGTCCTGGTACCGACGTAGACCCTTCGTCTCGGTACCGATGTGAACCATCGTCCAGGTACCGACGTGGACCGTTGTCCTGGAAAACAGTCGATGTGGTACACAGTTGTCAGTCAAACTGTCTGTGGCGTGATGTATTGTTATACTTCATTACATGACTTGGGAACGGCACCCACTAATGCTTTCTCTGAAAAGTTCCATATGGTATTAAGACAATGCAGCTCTAGACTGACTGACCCTTTGCCTAGTTATGGGTAGCCAGGTACGCATGCGTACATATAATCTGCGTATATACGCAACAGACTATTCTAAAAGTTCATTATAGGCACATTGTACTCTTCAGTGAGAAAGTAAGGTTACTTTCTAGAAAAGGTTTCTAAGTCTCTAGCCTTCTTCAGTCTCAACTCTACACACCTCGCGTCTGCACACCTACATGGGCCTCGCGTCTGAGTGGACAGCGCTCTGGGGTTGTAGTCCTATGGCCCGGGTTCGATTACAGAGAAAAAAACAAATGGGTAAATTTTTGTACCATTTCGTGGTACAGTTCACTAGAGCGCGTCTGGGAACATCTAGTGCATAGATTCGAACCCTCATCATGGTCTTTGTGGACTTGTTCATTATTAACCAGTTAATTGATGTTTCTTTCACCGGGTGTATTTTTCAGCTATTTCGCTGACATCACTTCTCTTCGTCACCTAAATAAACTATCCCAACTTCATGGCAATCTTCGTTACTCATCCCAGTTAATAAACATTGATAACTTATTCTCCAGCTAGCAGCGACATTATCTCCAGTCAATGATCAGATGCCAAACCCAGCAGAATGACGAATGTCTTCATTCTTCTCAGATTCCACTTAACATGCAAAATATTGTCTTTGTATCATTTGCTTCTAATTATCAGTGAGAGCACAACGGAATCTTCCTTCTCCACTACAATGTCTCTACATTCATAATGTCAACATTTATGTTCTACGAGGAAGTGTTCTCCTTCATAACTCTAACACATGCATCAACAAGATATCATGGGAGGGATCACAAGATGCCTGAAGTGGTCAACAAGACACTGGAGAGGATCACAAGATGCCAGAGGAAGGGGATCACCTAAGTCCAAAAGGGATTCACATGACGTAAAGTAGGATCTCAGAACACTAGGGGAGGACCAACTAAACGCTCCGACGACTCGAATAATTCAATGGATGGTCTAAGATGCGGCAAGACGACTCCATGTAACTTTCGATTTAACACAGTCGACTTCAGAATGGTCCAGGACGGACCGAAACGTCGTCGTCCCTTCACTTTCTAGTGTGTGGTCTGGTCACCATGTAACTTTAGTGTGTGGAATCCACATGACAAGAGAGGATCCACATGCCGTCAGAGAGGATTAATATGACTGAGAATCCACGTGAAGCCAAGAAAGAGATCTTTATATGACATCTGGATGATGATATTAGGGATGATCTACATGATTCCAAAGGAGAATACGCATGACATCAATAGAGATCTACATGACACGAAGTAGGAGCCACATAATGTAAAGATCGATCAACATAACGCCAAAAGGAGCCCACATAGCGCCAGGAGTAACCCACATACCACCAGAGGAGCATCACAGGACAATAAACACCCCCACAGCTGGAAATGTATAGACGTGAAAGCCCAACCCCACGGGCCAGAGTGGGTAAATAATTATATACAATAGGGTCAAGACGAAACAGACGCCCCTTATCACATTACTGCCGGCCCTGGGGAGTGCCTGGTGCCCGCTGGAGGAGGGATATAATCGGAGACCAAGACGAGATGGGGGGAGGAAGAGGGCTGTTACCGGTAACCTGATGGGGGAGTTAATAATGCGATG